GCAGGAAGGCATTTTGGAGCTGATCTTTGGCCGTGCTCAGGCACTGGAACCCCTCTGAGCACACTAGGATCTTCAGGGGGCTGTTGCCAACCTCTGGCATTTGTAGACCCCTTGTCCCAAAACCTCCCTGGACTACAGAGGGGTCAGAAGACCCCAGGGGTGCCTACTCCCTCCAGACAGCCTGTGGGGACATCCCTGGAGCAGAGTCACCGAGCCAGCAGCCCACAGAGGGACCACTGGCACCAGCCACCAAGCCAGTCATTGTTCCCCATCCTTGCATTTTGTTCCCTGTTTTTGTGCGTGGTGCTTGCGCGGAGCCGCGCGGCTCTGCCTGGGATTAGCGACAGCTGCCTGCAATTGCAGCTCTTCCCAGACAAGCGTCTCGCTTCCCCAAGGCTGGGGCTGGGGCTGTTTGGGGAATGCTGCTGGGGTGGTTTGTCTTGTAGTCTGCTCCAGGAATGTTGGCCAGACGGTCAAATTCTTCTCCCCTCTTGTAAAATGAGTGATGTGGGGCGTCTCTGGGAGAGCAGCCTGCCAGTCCCTCCTCCTCTGGATAAACCTGCCTGGCCCGCACCGCCCTGTCATGGGAACGGGCCCTTTCAACCCCAGCCACAGTAAATACGTGCCCTGCCAAAGTGGAGGGGGAGGGTGTGGATGGGGGTGTCCAGTTTTCCTCCTCTGGCAGCCCCCCACACTTGTTGGGAGACACTGCTGACTGTGCCAGTGGTCAGGAATGGCAGCCTGTCCCAGTTCCCCCCCTCGCCACCTGGCCGGCTCCTTGTCCTGCTGCTTCCCTGCTCCTGCGTAGCTCTCCAGGGACGCCTTGCTCTTCCTGTTCTGACAGGAGAAGAGAAATCTGGAGTCTGTCTGAGCCGCTCCCCCCTCCTCCCACCACATCTCACCCCCCAAGTTGCTGTTTTCCACAGAAATGTCAGCCTCAGCTCTCCTCTCCCTGACTCCTCCTGGTTTTTCCCTCCTGTAATCTTGGCCTTTGTCTCCAATTACTTTTTTTCTCTCCACCCTCTCTCTCCAGAGACCCTGATGGACACAAAGTGGGTGACTTCTGAGTTGGCATGGACAACTCATCCAGAGACTGGGGTAAGTCTGGAGCCATCCCTGATCCTGACCTCCAAAGGGTACAACTGGACCCAGCCCCACAGCAATTAGGGCCACTTGCCAGCACCTTCATGGAGTTGGCTGTTTTTTCCCCCTTCCCTCCAGTGCTTATCCTCTTGCCTTGTGAAACCATCTCCTCCTGACTCTGTGCTGGCAGAGCGGGAGTGCCGTGGTCCCTGGCGCAGTTTGCTCTTAGTCACCTTGATGACCAGGAGGGTTGGGACGGGTGGAGGTGCAGCTGCTGTTCTTCCCTGTTGACAGTTGCCTTGTCCCCCCCACCCTGTGCTGTTGGCAGTGTGTCCATGGTACTGATCTCTCTGTCTGGGGGTCTAACCTGCTCCCCTCTCCCTCACAGTGGGAAGAAGTCAGTGGTTACGATGAGGCCATGAACCCCATCCGCACATACCAGGTGTGCAACGTGCGGGAGGCCAACCAGAACAACTGGCTTCGTACCAAGTTCATCCACCGCCAGGACGTCCAGCGCGTCTATGTGGAACTGAAGTTCACTGTGCGGGACTGCAACAGCATCCCCAATATCCCTGGCTCCTGCAAAGAGACCTTTAACCTCTTCTATTACGAGTCGGATACAGATTCTGCCTCTGCAAACAGCCCATTCTGGATGGAGAACCCCTATATCAAAGTGGATACAATTGCCCCAGATGAGAGCTTCTCCAAGCTGGAGTCTGGCCGTGTGAACACCAAGGTGCGCAGCTTTGGCCCCCTCTCCAAAAATGGCTTTTACCTGGCCTTCCAGGACCTGGGAGCCTGCATGTCTCTCATCTCTGTCCGGGCTTTCTACAAGAAGTGCTCCAACACCATTGCTGGCTTTGCTGTCTTCCCGGAGACTTTAACGGGGGCCGAGCCCACTTCTCTGGTCATTGCGCCGGGCACCTGCATCCCCAATGCAGTGGAGGTGTCTGTGCCCCTGAAGCTGTACTGCAACGGTGACGGCGAGTGGATGGTACCCGTGGGAGCGTGTACATGTGCCGCTGGATATGAACCGACCATGAAGGATACCCAGTGCCAAGGTACGTGTGTGGCGCTTGTCCCCATGGGCGCATTGGTGCAGAGGAGGTGGTTTTGCATTGAGCTCAGTTTGTTTTCAGAGGCATGGATGCTGGGCAGGTTCCCTGAGGGGGGAGCAGGGTGGTATCTCAGAGGACCGGTCTGCATTTTGACTCAGCATCTGGAAGCTGTAAAGCCTTCGTGGTCCCGACTGGTGTGGTGATATGCTGGTTAGCACCCACAGATGCTCTGTGGGATGCACCTCCTCACCAGGAACCCCATGGCTCAAGGCATGGTCCTCAGCAGGGATCCAGAAAGTTCAAGCCCCTGAGCATTAACAGAACCTCCCTCTCACCCCTGCTGACGTGTCCAGTGTCTCCCCCTCTCTACTTCCTTCGGTGCTCAGGGCTGGGCGAGCAGTTGTTTCTGGCAAGTGTGATTTCACACTGCTTGTGTGGAGGCACTTGGAAACCTGGGTGTTGAGCAGGGCCCTGCTGTGCTGGCAGCAGGAGAAGCCATGTGGATGCATGCGGATGCATGCTCCCTCTGCCAGCACTGAGGGCTCACAGTAGGAAGGGTGGTGAGCTGTCTGAAGGCAGGGGAGCCACAGCTCCCCGTTGCTGCTCGGAGGGGAGGGAAGAGCACCCTGCACATGGAGATATTTGGGATAGAGCCATCTGGAATGGCCGGGTGGCCCTGTGTGGGTCTTGCAGCTGCCATGCTCTCCCACAACAGCTTTGGTGGTGTTGTTTCACTCCAGGTTGGGCTTGTTGGTAAGGAAAAATCTGCCTCAATGAGTGCTGCTTTTCTTGGGGTGATTTTGTCCTTGGGAGCTGTCTCAGACACATGGGACCCTGCTCTGTGGTGGTTTGGGTTTAAAGCAGTAAGGTCACTGCTCCCCTTGGCTGGAGGCATTTGGCAGGGAGCAGGACACTGGCTGGGCCCCCGACACTGGATGCCTTGTGCTTGCTGATGACGGGATGCTTGTCACCAGCCCTTTGCTCTTGGCAGGGACAATGTGATTTGGGATGGACTGTGACTTGAAGCTAGGGCCAGGCTGGCCTCTCTGCTGGCTTTGGGAGCAGTGTAGCTGTCAGCCATGCTGCTGGTCAGGTAGAATTCAGCCTCTGTGGGTCCATGGCTCTGCTGAGAGAGCAGAGCCTCTAGCACCATTGCTGCCATTACAGTCCCAACTGCAGGGGCAGGTTGCTTGTGCCCCCTGCGTCAACCTTGCGGGCAGCCAGTCTGGCTTCTCCTGGGGCGGACAGACACGGGTGTCAGGCCTCCATCACTGGACAAGGAGCCCATGCTTAAAAGTATGCTCAGGAGTCCAGGCTCCTGGGCAGCTCATTTCCTTCATGCTTGAGTTGGGAGATCTTAGACCTTTCCCAGCGGGGTTTGGACATGAGTTGACACCATTTCCAGCCAGCATCTGGGCTGTACTGAGCTGGGGCAGGACTGAGGGCTCTTCAGGGCATCGCTGCAGCCCAGGATGAGGTCCCTTCTCCACATCCCCCTGTCTGGGCAGACACCCACACAGCAACTCTCTCGGCACCTTTAATTTCCCCCCCCACAAGCCCCAGCTTCTTTCCCAGCACACAGGGAAGCCACACGGAGCCGTGGGCATGTCTCCATCCGGCAGCCTGCCTTCTGCCTGGGCAGAAGCAGCAATGTCCTCACGTTTCTCTGGGAAAGTTGGGCTGTGCTTCTAGCATCAGATTTTCCGCCATATGATCGTGTGTTTTAAGTGGAAACAGCTGAAAAAGGGCTGGGAGAAGCCAGAGCTACAGCTCCGTTTTCTGCTCTCAGCTGGATGTTCCTTTACCCTGTTTCAGCAGCACAGCACTGCCGAGAAGGCATTCTGCCCCCGCAGCATGGGAATAGGTGTGGATGTGGCCCCGTAGAGCTGGGGTTTCAGCACCCCCGCTCCAGGGAGCTGCCGAGGCTTCACCACACAGGGAAGAAGCACTCTGGAGTGCCAGATGGCATTTTAATAAATAACAATACCCAGTTAGTGCTTAGATGGGATAAGCCCTGTTGTAAATCTCCCCCTTTCCCCAGACTTTCAGAGGCCTTTGAAGATCTCCTTCTCCTCTTTATCTCCATCCAGAGCCAGGATTAGACCTCGCATTCAGACCTGTTACAATGCAGCTTGTATCCCGGTCCCTCAGGAGCTGAGGGCTCATCCCGCCAGTCTGAAGGCAGTTTCTTTGGCGTGCTTTGTAATGCGATACGCCAGGCTGGTATCTGGCGCTCTAGTCCTGAGTTGCCACAGCATTGATTTGGCATCTCATTCTCAGCCTCATTATCTTTATTTAATTAGCACGCGGCCCTTCTGGGGGTTGTGCCGCTTCCCACACGCTCCCTGCCATGCAGAGCTGCAGAGGCAGCTCTTGCAGGATGAAGAGGAGCTGCTGGTCAGGGAGGGAGATGAAGGCTTCCACATGCCCCCACAGGCACCGTTTATCCCCCTCGCCTCTGGAGCTCAGCCTTTCCCCTTGGCCCGATCAGTTCTCCTTTGGGCTTGCCAGCACCTGAACCGTATGGGGGACTTGGTGCCGGGCACTCCCACAGGCAGCCAGTGGGAGTTTCCTTCAAGCAGCACAGGGATCCCAGTACAGAGCAGCTCAACCTGTGGCACCTCCCTGAAAATGCTCCTGAGATGTGCTGCCCACGATGCATTTGCTGGGGTTTTGCACACCTTGTGCTGCTGGCTTCACCCAAAGACAGAAGAGTCTGGGGGCTGGCTGGCCTCCGTGGCAGGGCTAGCAATGAGCCCCCTCCTCGTATAGCCCTCGATACCCGTGGGGGGGCCTGGAGAGGGGCTGTGGTGCCCTTGAAGCCTGTGCCCCACTTGGGAGGGGGACTGAGGCTGTGTGATGCAGTCGATGGACACCTAAACCATAAAAGCACCTGGGGAGACAGTGGGCAGTGTGATGCTGCTCTCGTCAGACCCGTTTCTGAGCCTTTTTTATGTCCCTTTTCCAGTGGTACCAAGTGTTGTATGTTTGGGCACAGTCAGTCCATTATAGCAGGTCATGCTAGGGCCAAAATCTGATTTTTGGCGAAAATAAATTTCCCTTGCGATCAGTGACTAATGGAATCATCACCCTGAATTTAAAATAATAATAATAAAAAAAATATGCCAAGCAAGCACTGCACTTGCCAACTGTTTGCAGCTTTGCATTGCAACATGGGCTTGCTGCATGAAACCCAGGAAGTGAAACTGCCTGCTATTAATTGCTCGGGCTTCCAGATCAAAGGCAGCTCAGCAGCACAGGCAGGGGAGAGCTGCCGGTTTACAGCCAGGCAGCTTCACAATGGGTTACTTGTAACACGGTTGAGGAAATCTGCCCCTGCCGTCCTGCCTGTGACCTGCTGTGGCTGCAGGGG